AAATGTCAAGGCTGTAATATTTATTAAATATAATTATTAAATTATAGACAATTAAAGTTGGCCAATTGTAGTAATTAAAATTTGTGTGCTCAGGTAGATAGCGCGATATCTTTATACATTAATTAGCTTTTTAAATATTGACATAATTAAAACATTTACTGCAAAAGTACCTAATTATTGAAATTCTAGTTTCTGTTTTTAAACCGTTAATAGTTTTAATAATGTTTTAAAGCGTTAATAGTCTAAGTTAATAACGTTTTAAATAATAGAAAACTAAATTTTGATAATTTAAGGTACTTTTGTAGTAAATTTAGGGTACTTTTGCGCTTCAATTTTGTATACAATGATAAGAGATCAAGCTATTTCACTCTTTTTAAACCGATAACGATAATTTTATATAAATCTACAATTTATCATGTATTGTGCATTTTATACAAATGCTAAGAAACATTTTGCAAATTTTCGATTGTTCGAAAATAGTGTTACTTTATAATTATATAAAGATATAGGTGCATTTTATAAAAAAACATTTCTCGGTAGATCAAACAAATCGAACCAATTACGGTTCTCGTGCCGCGGTTTCTATGTAATTTATAAAAGAGTAAGCAAGCGTATATTTCGCAAATTAAAGTATCTCTTGAACAATTTACGTTATAACCTTTTGACGAATTTAATCTATTCCAGTGATTCGCACTTTTACATATCTTTGATTGTTCCGAGAATGCAATCTTGAATGGTACGTTTTTATCGCACGTTAATTTATGAAATTTACGAAAATTCCTTTATCTCTTCGCTCTATGTGTACATATAAGCGCTAGCAAAGCTATAACTTTTCGCAATAAGCGACGTTACGGTTGCCATAACAGCGAAACTGCGCGATCAGTGCACTGAATCAACCGTACGATATTATGACGAAACTGGGAACGCGCAGCAACTTGGCGACGTTAAAGACAGGAACGGAAGTTCTTAACGAATGTCGTCATAATGATACCGGATTTATGAGTTTGCTTTGACATCGCTATGAACTTTTTGACTGATTTAGCCCAGATAACTAAAAATTCATCACATATATTAATTAGAAAACTTTTATATAAAACGATTCAGAACATCAATTTTAATATTAAATATGTTAATGTCTCTATTTCTTAAAAAGAATTTACATAATATAAAGTGAATCATATACATTTGTGTTTTAAATATAGAGAATCAAGATTATATTTGCTTGCTATAATACTTTTCTAATTATAAACGATTAAAATTGGCCAATTGAGGCGGCTGAAATTTACGCGTTCAGGAATAGTACATCACATGACGCTAGAATTAATTAATTTTTTTAATATTAACATAATTGAAACATTTATCGCGTTTAAAAGTGCTTAACTATCAAAATTTGACAGTTAATTCGGTTTAGAAAGAATGAAATAACTTGATTTCTCTCTCTCTCTCTCTCTCTCTCTCTCTCTCTCTCTCTATATA